GTATGACAGTTGAAGAATATACTATATAAGCTGTTAGAATACATATACCTATGTAGGGCATACCTATATATACCATACATATGTACATATGTATAACAGAAGCGTGATTTTTTTCTAATTAGAAAATATTTCTTCATTTTGTGTGAAACTGCGATTGATTGAACTATGCGGATTATTCATCATGTGGAATGCTTACAATTTACGAGTATATAACAAGCGTTATCAAGGGTAAATATAAACATTAAAAATTATTTCTTAAGCCTTCAGAATGCCCAGGTTAATTAGTTTCTACGTATTTTACACTCACACAGTGTGCCACAACTTTTAAATGTAATCAAAAGACTGGCAATAAATCGAAATTTGACAGGACAAAAAAAAATATTTCGAGCAATTTATTGGTTACTTCCTATATTAAAAACTCGAAAGAACTTGACTCTTATAAAATTGTACACTAAATTTAATTTCGCATGTATTGTATATGTATAGCCCATAGAACCTATGAGTACAGGTAGTAAATAACTCACAGTAGTATAAGTAAAAGAAATATATTAAAATACCAAAGAACACTACTTTTTTCCAAAAGAATGTAGTAAATCCAAGTTTTGTCTCTTATATGAGAACTGTTCTCAAAAATGTAATCAGCCAATCTTATGCTGTGAAGTAGTACGATTTCGTCATTTGGCAGATTATATTCAGTCGGAGAAAATTTGGGTGAATTGGAATCTCAATCAAAATTGTCATAGATAGAATCTCCAGTTGCAAAAAATTTTAGTTTTGAGGGTTATTTACCATTACCTCGAGAAAATTCGGTTTGATTACACATGAGTCATAACATAACATATAGCAATAAGCTATTTTAATATATTACAAAATTAAAAACTAGCAGTTATATAATTTTAGCCAAATTTAGCTATACGACTGATCGTAGGCAAATGTTGAATGTTAATCTATGATTGATATGTCATTAAGAACATTCAATCAAAGACAAAAGTTTAAATACACCAACAAAATATCACTTTTTATGCAAACAAAGCATTTTAGCATGTAAGCATGAAGTTTAATTTTAGTAAATTATTTATTAACATTGAAACCAAAAAAAACATCCAATGTAGCTTAAATAGCGGTTAATTCATCAGAAACCTAAAATTCCACGGAACAAAAGTTTAAATACAACCACTGAAAAATACGCATCACATATGTTTCACAAATTCTTTAGAAAAAAGTGCCGTTATATGCGATGATTTAGCAACTTATACATTTGTATTCGGTATTAGAAGCGATTTCTTCTCCAAGAGTGGACATAGAATAAAAAAATGGGTAAAGGAAAACAAATAGAGAGTGGCGTTAAAAATTTAATAATTAAACATTTTCAAGATGGAAAATCTTACCGAGATATAGGGAAAATCCTTAATATATCTTGTGCAAGTGTGCAAAATATTATTCGAAAGCCTTACGGGAAAATAGCTATCAAAGCAGAGTTCCACGAAAAAAAACTCTCATATCTGAGAAAAATAAGCAACTTCGTCTAGAATTTGCAAACAAATACAAGGATATGGATGAATCTTTTTGGAGAAGAGTCCTGTTTACTGACGAATCTAAGTTCAACCTTTTCGGAAGCGATGGTCGTACAAAAATTTGGCGTAAAACAGGAACAGCATATCAAACCCAAAATTTAATACCAACCGTTAAGCATGGGGGGGGGGTAGCGTCATGGTTTGGGGAGCGATGGGAGCAGCTGGCGTAGGACATCTAACGTTTATCGATGGTATAATGAACAAATATGTTTACAAAAGTATTTTGGAACAACATATGCAGTCTTCGGTGCATTGCTTAGGCCTCGGAAGTTCTTGGATATTCCAACAAGACAATGACCCTAAGCATACCGCGGGTTTGGTGAAGGATTGGCTGTTGTATTATGCTCCTCGTCAACTCTATAGTCCGCCACAATCACCAGACTTGAACCCGATTGAGCACGTTTGGGAGCTATTGGCACGGAAAATTGATAATGCGTGTTCAACTAGCAAAACATCCTTGAAAGAAGCTCTGAAAAACGCATGGTCGGAAATTGCGCCATCGGAAACAGAAAATTTGGTTCTATCTATGCCAAGCCGTCTAAAAGCAGTTATTGAAGCACGAGGTGGACCAACAAAATACTAAATATATTTTATGTCTTATATTTTAGTTTAATTTAGTCGCGATATGAAACTCTATGTAATGTATTTAAACTTTTGTCCCGCGTAATTTTATGTTTTTGATGAATTTACAGTTATCTAAGCTATATTGAAAGTTTTTTTTTAATTTCAATGTAAGTAAATAATTGACTATAAATAAACTTCCCACTTACATTTTTGTCAAAATAATTTTTTCCAATAAAAAGTGAAATTTTATTGGTGTATTTAAACTTTTGTCTTTGACTGTATGTATGTATATAATATTAACTTAAGTAAAATGTATATATGTAAGCATAATCTTCTGATTACTACTATTCCATAATTATGTAGACAAAATCAATAACTTCTAACAAATCATAATCAAAGTGGTCAATAAACTCAGCGCCGCTCTAAGCGCACAAATAAATTCCTAATGGCTAATTATGCTAATTTAAAACTTTAAATGCTTCACAGAAATTTTTAGCTTGTCATGCATTAACACAAATACACCATGCATAAAGGTACACATATTTTTACACTCACTTTTCACGCAACACGATCAAATTACGCATCATTATTTTCAAATGAATATTTTTTCGAATGAACTCGGCGGAGCAAAAACAAAATCGAAAGGGATTAAAAGAAAAACAGAAAAAATTATGATAAATTGTTAGGCAACACAGAGTTTTGTGACAGCCTGTCGGAGTCTGTCGTTTCGCTCGACTTCAGTGGCACTGAGAATGCGGGTGAAAACGCCGAAACACCAGTCACTGGAGAGTTACAATGAATTTCAATCAAAAACGGTTGAGGGGCAACCGCTTGAGGGGCATGCTTTAAGCCATACTTTACATGTCTGTTACATTCTTGAAATTGTTAAGTGGCTGAGAAAAAGCAGAGATCGTTAAGTAGTTGCATCCGATTGCCCGCAACATTGTGGCAAGATGAGTCACGCATATGCAGCAGAGCGTAGTAGATGGTAAGGTTGCAACGATGTAGGTAGAAAAAGCTGTGCGCAAGGTAAATGAGACCAGTAAATCAAACAAAGAAATTCCTGAATAATGACCGACAATTCGGGGCAATAAGAAAAAAGTTTAACAAGATCGCAACAAATCACTCCGAAATGCAGCTGTAATGTGTCAAATACTTAAAAATTTGAAAAATATTAAAAAGTAGGACAGAAGTGTGTTTGTAAACAGAAAGGGTTATTGCTTTCAACGCCCTCTTGCAACGAACAGAAGGAGCGGCTTCATTGCATCAAACCGTGCGTGCTTGTGTGACCTATGTTCTAGTCACTTATCATTAGTCACGCTAAGCACACAAATACTCGTAAATATAAATTTATTTTATATTTGCTTTCAGCTCAATTATGTGTTTGTTTTATGTATGTAGATATGTTTGTAAAAGCATATTTACGTGATTTTTTACAAATTCTTGGCTTTTACGATACATCATTTAACGATCGCCACTTTTTCTTAGCTTTTAGCGGTACTTTTCATTTCGCTTTCATGTTTTTTCTCTTTGCTCGAATTGCTGATGTGAACTGTTGTTGTTTTACCGCTGCATTTCGCAATATTAGCCACAAGAATGTTTGAATGAAAGAATCTGAAAAAAGTAGATTAAGCTACTTTAACTGTTCTGCGAGTATGAGTAACAGGATGTGATGACACTTAATACGACGTTTGCTTAGATGTGGTATAATGTTACCGCTAGAATATGTGTGCACATGTGTGCTGCTTTAAGTGAGGGATGATGATGATGTGAAGCAAAAGACTAGCGATCTTTGACTACTTCAAACAGCGGAGACTAACGAATCGAACAAACAAGTAGTATGACTCACAAAAAGTGGCATAAAAAATATAAGCCAGCTTCGTTTTCTCAAACACTAGTGCAATGAATCGATGACACAACTAGTGTATTCATTGTAGTAAAGACAGGTGTATATAGCGTAAGTTGGTATAATAAAATAAAACTTTACTATGTAAAAGCGAGTCCTAACAAAGCTAACTACGAAATTACCAATGGCATATATTTTTATAAAAAAGCAGTTTTCGAATTCTCAAATTTTAGAAGAACGAAATAGCTAACAAATCGAATACACAACTGGTATAATCATAATGATGTATAAACTGACCAAATAATTTATTTACATTTTATTATCTGGTATAATATACCTTGCAAAGAAAGTACCAACTTCTTACAAATCTTTAAGAGGAGCAAGTCCAACAAAAAACTGGTAAAAACCGTATAACCTGTTTTATTGAAATGAAAACGTTAGAGTAAAAATGATAATAAACAACCTTACAAATCGCTCGATTTATCAAAACCTTGAGAGTAGCGAATCTGGCAAAGAACTAGTATAAATCACAGAAACTGTTAGAACAAAATTCTCATTTTAACAAATCTTGAAGAGTCGTCACGAATAGACAAAGTAACTGGTATAAACTACATAATATGGTATAATAAGCTATAAATAGGATTTCATGCTTCAAATGTGATGCTTAGCAATTCGCCCAAACAACTGAAGTAAATCACACAAACTGGTATAAATCATAAAAACTGGTATAAATCTTATAAGCTGGCATAATAAAATAAGAATACCCTTTAACGACGAAAAAAATATGATAATGTATGAATATATGATATAAGGAAGTATTGGATATGTTAGTGATACTGATAACTGATCATGAACTCAATATTGGTTTAATCTAAAAATTGGGTATATCTGTTCGATAATACCAATTACCTTTCAAGCATACCTATTGTATCTATATTACTCCTTGCATTAGTGTTAAGAAAATTCTATTAAATTACATTATTAATTTCAATTCTCTCTCCCGGTTTTTATTGCAGTTTGCAAGGAATGGCTGGTACGTGAAGATAGCGCATTGGCCTATAAATTGCAGTCGCAAGAGAGTAAGTTTATATGTATAACCCACAGAATTAAAGTTGAAATATTACATGCATGAATATTTTATGACCGGTAATACATACTTCTTCAACAGTCAATGACTTCTACAAAGGCAATCGGCAGCGCAATGCTGTGGTACGTGAAGATTTTCCCACCGCGCTCAATGAACAAATCAAAGAGAAAGAAGAAGCGGAGAAGCAAGTGGAAATGTATCGGCGAAGATTGCTCGAGCTGTAAGTGCAATGAAATTACACTCGCTGGGTGTAAATTTGAAATTTTTATATTACTACAGGGAGACACATGACAAGCGTGTTGCGAAGGAGATCGCCGACAAGTTGGAACGTGACTTGCAGGAGCAAAGACAGCGCGAGTTGTTAGAGAGCGAAGAGATGGCGCAGCAGATGCAGGCAAGAAATATATTTGCACACACAAATACATATACATATGTGTATGTATGTTTAATTCAATTTCATTTTATACTCTATCTAGGAGCTGTACGTGAATTTGCCGCCGCCAACGCGTGGCAAGGCACAGCAGCCACCACCACGTCCAGCTAAAGCAAGTATCTTGCAACAGAATCCAAATGAACCCTCAACATCGAATGGTAGATATTTTAGTGGTAGTAGTAGTAGCCAGCACACAAGTCATCAACAATTGTCACAATCACCACAAACACCACAACAGCAACAGTCAGCATTTCAACCATATCACAAGCAGCAACAACAACACATATTGCCACAAACATCGCCAGAATCATATCTATTGCAACAGAATCATTTCTCTCAAACTGATTGTTATGTTGGCATAACTATACAAAAGTCACCCTCACTAACAGCAGCAGCAGCATCCACCAATGCCGTAGAGTCACCATCACCACCAACATCTTCAACACGCAAATCATCAAAATCACAAGCGAATGGCAGTAGCCACTTATTGGTGAGTCTGGCAGCACCAAATATTAACCATTGCGTGTTGCACTTGACTTTGAGCTCATCCAAATTAACCAACTAACAACTAAATTTCATTTTCATTAGCAACAACATCAACACTCATTGTCATCCATTTCGACGGGTTCGACATCTTCGGGCGGAGCAGCAGCGTCGGCAGCAATAATGGCATCGCCATCCGCTTCGGTACAGTCATCTTCATTTGCACATCAACACCCACACCAGCACAATCAACAACACTTGCATTCACCAGCTGCACTACAACAACAACAACAAAAACGCAATGCGCTCGATATGCACCCACACCCCATACACACACCCTATACTAATCACTCACCAACACACACAACAACAACACCAACAGGCGTACAACAACAATCGCTAAACCCACGTCAGCACTCAGTTGAAGAGTTGGTGGAGTATTCGGATGTTGTAGATAATATACGCCAACTTAATAGTGAGGCTGGTGGCCATACACCCGAATCATCACCAATACACAACACTTTCAGTAATAATCATCCCAATCCATCAACTGGTGCCTTGAGCAATCGCCTGCATTCGGTTTCCAATGAGAATTTGCTTAGAAATGAACATAAATTTCAGAAACTCTCACCGGAGAAATACGATCAGCTGGTGGGTAATGATGGCAGCGGGCGTGGCATGCCAAATGCCGTTGCCGCTGAGCGGCACATGCAAGCGCACGCGGATGATATCGAATTGTATGTGGATCCGTGTGATTATGCGAGTTTGAAGGAGATTGGCTTGCCCCTGGAGGAAATCAAGGAGATGAGTAAGAAGCTGAAGCAGGAGCAGAAGGATGAGGTGAGAATTTGGATTGCATCTCTCAAATTGAGCTCGAGTTATAGTGTCTTTATAAAATTACAGTTGCTGGCGCGTCGCTTGCAGCAAATGGAGGCGCATGATGGACTCACACAGGAAGAGCGCGATCGGCTGCTAGCGATCGAGGCGCAAGACAAAGAACTGGCTAAAATGTTGCAAGATCGCGTAAGTTATTGCTATACATTCAATTTATATAAACACTAATTGTCCACTGTTTTTCACAGGAGCGCGCCAAAGCGAAACGCGCCAAAGAGAAGGCGCGCCTGCGCAAGCATCAACAAAAAGATGGCAACACAACGCTATGCTCGTCCAATGGCAGCACCTCAAATGGACTACATTGCGGTCCACTGCTACCGCTGCCACAGGATTGTCTCTCATTTGGCAAGCACACGTCACATGCAGCACCTTCGCCAACAGCGGCTGCCGCTGTCAACAACTTCCCCTACACCCCACAACCGACAGCGCGCAATGGTTTACATATGCAAGCGGAAGAGGAGGAGGCGGACATAATCGATGTGGAGGCCTACTCGAATCCCATTGATGTGCTGCACAATCAACAACAACGCCAACAACAAAATGGCACACTCACCAATGGCAGTCTGACACGTGAGGGTGGGCGCCGCAGCAACGGCAGTCAACACAATGGCATCGGTGCGCATCAGAATAGCATGTTGCTTAATCGCGGCGAAGATGACATCTACACATTGCCGGTAGACAGCTGTCGCCCAGGGCAACGTCCAACGTCGCTGAACATTAGCGCAACCAGTGATGCGCATCTGTTGCAACACAACTCAATGACTAGGTGGGTGTGACGTTACATGCGTTCCACCAACTGTAATTGTATACATTTTTCTTCTACTTTTTCGTTGCAGATCCGAAAACTACTCCATCGATTCGCATGATTCACTAAGCAGACATGAGCTGGCTTCACGCATGAACTACTCGCAGTCGAGTACTTTTGGTATATATGTATTTGGTTGTCTGCCTAAAGCGTGTACATTTTAATGCTTACTTTCTCTTTTTGGTTGACAGATAAAAGCTCAAGCCCCACACCGCCTTATATGCCGATTCAGGGTACGCGGCGCTCAAACTCAGGCGACGAACGAAAAAAGAAGTCCAAGGATAAGTGTACGCATCAGTGAAGCGGCCACAAATTAGTCGAATTGCTCATTTATATACCATATACATATGCATAGTAACATATACATATATATATATATACAAACACACACACACACATACATATATATGTTAAGATAACTTACATATCCTTGTTATAAACCTATGTACGTTTGTATCGCAATGAAACTGCATATATACATCTTTACATATTTATTGACATGCTCACTACTCTAGAAATTATTCCCCCAAACTCATTGAATAAAATATTTCCATTTCATATCAAATGATTTTTCTGATCACTTCTATATACACATGCATATGTACTTATTTGTTGAAGGAAGTATTGCATAATATATTAATATGGGCAAGAGTTAACAGTTAAATCAATTTGTGTAAAGTGACAAACAATAAAAGAGTATGTATTTGGTGCGCTTAAGCATTTATTATAAAAATATCTTACACATAGCTACATATAAATATATATATAGTTATATAATTAAAGCTACCTAAAAACATTAAACCAACATTTACATATATACATAGTATACATATATACATAAAGTTAGCATATGCTCAGCTATTGTGAAATGTTTTATCGTTTATTCTGAAAATGTATTTGCAAAATTAAACAAAAAATTTATTTAAAAAAATGTTATGAACCATTACTTTTTTTTATATAATATATGGTATACTGGGTATATTAAGGAATACTTTCTTAAAATCATTTTCAGTGCTAGTTGATAGTGCTTGGCTGTATAAAACTTCGGGTACGACCGACCGATTCGAATGAAATTCGTTAAATTTTTTGATGAGTGATGAGCACTGCCACTCTTTTTAGTTTGGTTACTGTTACAATTTCCGAACAACGGCAAAGAAGTGTTTCTCTACACAATAGCGGACGCTACTTGGCATGCAATCTCCAACTTTTGAGTGTTTTTGTAGCGCCAGTATATTAGACGTAGGGCAACCACATACCAAAATTTGCATTTTGTCATTATGTATGACAACCGGCTACTGATCTCTTTGAACTGAGTAGCCTATCGCCATTAAAGGCATGCTACTAGCTAGTTTTGGTAGAGGTTTGTATTGCGACCTGTAGTTCTCCGCTCTAACACATTTTTTTTTTATCAATAACCCATTCGCATTGCTCCTCTGAATGTTGTATCGTCCCTAAAATAGCTTCGATTGGCGACATTTGTACTCAGTTAATATCCTTTTTTGGCTTTTCTTCATGACAGAGCTCTTCCCTAATGGTGTACGTAGCCATGCGAAAAAAGGTTCCGGTCCTATCGATTTGATTGCCGCCGCTTAGCCAGATGATCAGCTACCTCGTTTCCTTTATTCTCAGAGAAAGTTCGTTTATAAATACTGAGAAAATACTTGAAAATGCGTATACCAAGAAAAATATTAAATACATTTTAAAGATACGAAGTTATCTATATTTGAAAAACTAGGTTTTATAAATTGTGATAGTATATTGCATAATAGGTTGGTAATAAGATATAATGTAGCAAATTAGATCCAGCAGTTGATAAACAGTTGCTCGTTACAATGTGTAATACCAATCTTGGAGCGATGATTTTCATATTTAATACAGTCGCATAAGCTAGTGCGCCTTCGGATAGGCTAACACTTTTATATTTCCCGTTTCAGCTGTCATTGTTGATAGTATTTTACATTAAAATTACAGATTTATTGATTAGAAAATATAACGAATATTAAACTTATTTTATCAACACTTTCTTCAAATTCAAATAAACTTTAATTCTACAACTTGTTCGATTAAACATGCATACTCACATATACTTTGTTGTACTGCTGAAAACCATGTTACTAGTCTGCGATTTATTTCCAATAAGTTTTGAAACTTGGTTCGTTTGGCAGGTAGTGTGAACATGCTTCTTGTAACTTCCTTATGGAAGCAGTTTACCAGAGGCAAAAAAGGCTCTTAGTGAACTCGATGGTCTCGTTTAACATATATTTATTTGGCTAAGGCGTTTGAACTGCAAGATCATTATCTTGCTTGCTCTAAAAAACTATAAGCGATTTGATGTTAACACGTATTTTGAACATTAGAAACCGCAAAATCTTCATTGCTCTTAAGGGATTGACTCTAGATTGCGTCGCTTAGCTCCTATGACTGCTTATAGAATTACATGGGTTCACACCGTTTTAATAGAAAACGAAAGATTCTTTATGCATTCTATTCACAATTCCGTCAGTTGTCTCTTCTTTTTGAGGCCTTCGCAAATGAAATTCCAGTTGTCATTCCAGTTGTCAGCCTTCAATATCCACTAAGAGCATCTATTATAAGCTTATTTAAATTATTTTGATCTATATTACTGTTTGCAACTCAACTTTATACATCCACGACAACTCAACCTCCAAAATTGTTAAGTTGTACTATTATCGTTAAATCGTCACTTTTTTAAGGTTGGCAATATCAACACAATTATAATTAAAACTAGTTGTTATATAAAACAGATAAATTTCAACTCAACTTAGTCGAGTTGTAAATCGTAATAAGGGTACTTTTTTCTCAGTTTTTATTACTCTTTAATATTTATTTAAATAAATTTTCAAAATCTTACCTTATCAAATAATTAATTCACTTTAGAGTCAATTGCTTTATGCCATTGAAATATTATTTTCATGTTATTAGCGAAACAACTTTTTAGTAATTTTTACGTAATATTTGATGATTGGCGTATAGCGTCTATGCATAAGCTACATTTTCTAAAATATAAGTTCTAAAAATTCAGCACTTTCTGTAATGAACGCTGCAAATGCCATTATTCATATCTATATCTATCTTAAATAAATAAATGAACAATTACAAGCATACTCTTACATATATATTAATGTATATGCATTGGTTAGATGACATGAAGGATGTATGTACGCATATGTTATGAACGGTAATGCAATTATGGTATTACGAATTTCACACAAAAACAGCAAGTTTGCGGCCAATACCGGAGATCAAAACTTGTGAAACTGATGTTAAAAGTCACAAGTTAGGGTCTCAGGGAATCAGCCATACAAACACATCTTAACGCAAAACAAAAACAACTTAACTATTATATATATATAGCATACATATGTATGTATTACAATTCAAGTGCAACACTATACGAGCATTACATACAAACTATTTGCTGCTCATTACAGATAACACAAGAAATTTTCAAAATTCTTGTGATGTATTTTTAAGCACTTATCATCTACAACTAGTATAGTTTGTAGCGAGTTTCCTTTGTACAAGTATTTAATTATTTTTTCACGTTTTCAGCTCTTTGCACACTTAAAAACGCTGCTTGGTGTCAAGCAAAGAAAGCTAGCACGTTGTATAGCATGCCGTTAATACTACTATACAACCTACTACCTCAATTTGCCAGAGAAATGTTAAACTACTGGAACCAACCCGCCCAAAGCCCACTAACTGAAGGTCCGAAGGCATATCTGTCGGAGCTTAAACCTTACTTTACATTCGCTTTTTTTTTTTGCCATTTGTCCTTTGGTTTTTGGTTCCTTCAACACGTTGTTTACATTGACAGACTCCCATAATGCCGGTCTTGCAACACAAACAACAGCACAAGTTCGGATTTACGGGTTTCTGTTAATGGTCCATAAACAAGTATGCACCATTCTGTTTCAGGTTGTACTCTTAGTCATCCATTTTGTTGTAAGTTTTTGTAGGTTTTATGGTCTGCTTTATATTTGCATATAATATTTGTGCAATTCGTGAGATTGTTGTTGCGAAATATTTATTATATTATTGCTGAACACTCTATGTTGCTAAGATGTGTGTCGCATATTACCAGGAACTGAGCTCCGATTTGAGAACAAAGAATTTGTTAATTTCTTAAGAGAATCTTATTGAGTAATTCATTAAAAGAGTTGTCGTTTTGGCTGTAAAATTTTGTAAATAAATATTGTGTATAGGCAATAGTATGTCACAGTATGAGCCATTAAGTATATTGAAGGATATATCAGATCATATAAGAATTTCTAAACGTCCACACAGGTTTTATACAGTCGTAACGATCACAGTGTCTCTATGCGGTGTACTGGATGTATAAGCTGGATTTTCGTTACTCGGCGATAGATCTAATCGAAGTTCTTAGGTCGTGTATAAATAATAACGGAAAACAAACCATAAAATAAAATTGACACAAGATAATTGCGCATATCGGAAAATGATTGTCGATTTTAGCGCGATAAACGTTATGTTATACGAGATATAAAATTTTTACTATCCCTTAGTATAAAACCTAACCTTAAAAAAGCAATCATCACTTTTCGAAAATATTAAATAGACGATATTTTCTTCTAAGTTGCGAACTCTGTCAATCAAACCACCATTTATCAATTCTTTTGATGTCGATTTATACTCCTTTATATACCGCCATAGACCATGTATACTATATTAATGGTATTTAGAACTCCACGTTCTCATTTCAATGAAAAATTATGGAAAAAGTTGGCTTCTTGAAGGTCCTCATTATATAAGGAAGATCATACCTTATAGGTAATGCTTCCATGAAAAATATTCAGATAAAATTCTTGACCTTTCATTTGTCAACCAACACACAGACTATAAATTGGAGGAGATACTTGGACAAACCTTTATCTCATTTCTAAATGTCAGTGAACAAGCTTATTTTATGCAGCTCTAAGCGATCTGGAGAATTCACGTAGTAGGAAGTTGAACTCGGATTTAAAAATTATCCTTGTAAAGATTTTTTGAATACTGCAAGTACGTACTAGAGCCACTTCCGTTATCTGCAAGTAAAAAATAATATATTAATAATTATCTCTTATATAATATTAAATAACTAATACTTATAACAGTTACTGTTTTTTAGTAGTGGTTAAAGCATAAAGCAACTCTCAAAACTTTGAATACATTGGGGTCCGTGATGAATCTTCTTAGTTCAAGTAAATCTGAGGAATTCTGTTCGAGCAAATCTGTCCTTGAATAAAAAGCTGAAATTTTATAAAAAAGAAAACAGTATATTAATATCTAGTGTTATATCTATTTGTGTATCAAAAAATTGTATAATGTGTATATGTTATCGATTTTATATAGGATTGGTGGGGCACAATAGATCCTAGGTCGCAGTGCATACCTCTTTTTCAAATCTAAAAATAGGATTGGTGAAATATTTGTTTACGCTTGATACTCTGAAAACTAGGTTCTTAGACACCTCTCAGAAAGTATTATAAGGTGAAGTTCCTTCGTCTAACAGTGTTCTATTGTTTTCTTATCAAAAGTCAAAAACTTAAAAGTATATTTTGCTCTTTTTAAATTAGATCTTTTAGTAAGTCTGTATAATACTACATACATATTATATATAAACATATAAACATATTTTTTCTAGCAAACATTTTTCTTAGCATCTACTACATCTTAGCATAGAAATATATGTACATACTATACATAAGTACATATAACTGTGCATCCATAAAAATAAACGAAAACCGTTGCTCCTTTCATAGTTGCAACACACTTGTGTAACTGCACACTTGCACACGTTGCCACTGTTGATGTGTTGATGCTTCTATTGCCGTAATAGAAGTCACATTAGCAACATTGTTGAACAGCTATGTTTAGCAACATAACAATGACATTAGACTGAATGTTTGGTTACATTGTATCGCGGAGTGTTTATATAGGAACATATATTTTTATGTGTCTGCAACAAAGTCGGTAAATGCGCTGTATACTATGTAAATGAAAATGTGAGTAAATATGAATTTTTGTTGTAATTTCATAGAAAAGGTAAAAAGCGCAAGGAAATTCCAGAACAAAAACTATGGTAGCGATTATCTGATTGAGTTGGGTAATATTAAAACAATTGTTATATGCTGCTAAGTCAGTATACATAATAAGTATATGCATACATATACCTATATTAATATATATTTCTAACTGCGAACATTTTTAATGTATCTATTTTATTAATATGCCAGGATTAAAGTCTTCAACGTTTTATAATATTATATAATAATGAGCATTTTGAAGTAGCTAGAATTGAATCTGCTTCACAAGAAAGTTCAAATGCTTTATATTTTTGCATTGTTAGCCTGTATATCTCACTGTAAATTATAATCGCTTTTTCAAATATATAAAATTGGAATTTGACTCCATCATTAACGATCGATTTAGATGTTAAATACTGCTGCAAAATCAATAACATTACTCGTGAACCATATACTAACTTAAACGATATTTATGACAGATCAAAGATCAAAGTACGCATATTTTATATAGAACTTGTATGACTTAGCTATCTTACTTTCAACACAAATTGAACTAAAATTGGAATAATATTATTTTTTCTACTAACGGTTAATAAGAGAGGAAACTCTTCATTTTATAAGACTTTTGTGAAGTCAATATTCCCAATTTTTCTAATAACGTTTCTGAGAGTTTATAATTACCAACATCTCTCCAAATATGGACAACATTTTATTCTTTTTGGAATACTGACAATTAGTGGAACTAAAGCGTTTAAAACATCTATTGTGGAATTAAAAAACCATATTTTTTCCAACTTCGATATATGCCTACTAGTGAGCACTTTTTTTAGGTTTCAGCCACGGAGAAGTCTGGAATCACTGCAGCACGGGAAGACCTTTATATAGCGCTGACAGAGGTCGTGTATTGTTAAAATAGTATTTATAAATATACTTAAATTTCGAAACAACTGTTATAGCAAGTTTTTGATTTTTAATTTAGAAAAATCTACTTTCTTTAGGTTGTGACACTAGGTGTGTTCCTTAAGATTTGTTATCTATGAACTTATTTCACCAATATTATCCAGAGAATATGTTGATAAAAAATTATACTTAATTTACAAGAAGGGGTTGATCCATATAGCATTTACTAAAAATGTATTTTCTGTCGAAAAAATTATGTAATTGGTGGAATAATGAAACAAAAATTTTCTCTGTCCAATCCGTTGCAGTATAAAAGTTTTCGGGTCAGTAAGTTTAATCCGTACATTTTTTAAATCGGGCGACAATGACACTTGGAGACTACCACACGTATTCCCTTAAAAATTGTAATGTTAACTCCCGTCTAATATAATTTAATACACCATGCACGTGTTGTTGTTAGTATTGATACATTTTTATACTCTGAACAGGGTATACTAAGTTTGCAATACCCAGAAGGAAACGTCGGAGAACTTACAAAATACATACATAAATCATCAGCATAACGAGCTGAGTTGATTTAGCCATGTTCGTCTGTCTGTCTGTATATACGCGAACTAGTTCTCAGATTTTGAGATATCGATCTGAAATTTTTATTCCCAAGAAGCGGCGATATAAGTTTACTACAGCATATAGCTGCCATACAAAGTAAACGATCGGAATCAAGCTCTTATAAGGAACATTTTGTATTTATAAAAGGTATAATAGCTACGGTGCAACCGCAGTTAACAGTTTTTCTTGTTTATAAATAATTTACTGCTCATTTGGTCAATTAAAAGTTGAGTCTCATAAATCCGTCATTTTGCGAGAAATTTATATAAAATCATGTTTTGATGGTAAGTCTAATGATTATTTGGAATCATCATCGTCCGTCGAAACCCTTTTGAAAAATGTGATTACGAATATTATTTTTGTAACACTATGTCAATATAAAAAAAAATGTATGTACCCAAACACAAGTACAATAAAGCCAGGAAGAGAGATATTCGATCAATCCAGAAAAAATTGTCCACTAAACACCCTTTTTGATTTCTTTTGATTGGTCTAACTGCTTAAGCTTTACTCAGCTGTTATTATATAAGCCCAACTTCCTCTTCATATCAAATAATTAAAAAAGGTCTGATGTATTTTTTTTTTAGAATTATATTAAGCAAAGTTGCGAAGTACACACTATACACGTTTAAAAGCATTGTTGCAGGAAGCATCAGCAGACTAAGAAAACAGATGACTGTGTTTACTAGCATATGTATGTATGCTATGTTTTCTATATATAAATATATATTTATGCATATTTGTGCGCTGTAGATATATATATACTATATATATGCATGCAAAATGTATTACATACGAGTATATATTATACTATATATACATGCATATATACAAGTATGTACTATTCAATTGATAAGTATGTTTTAAATTCACGTTTGCTAAATGCTTGGCAATTTATGAATAAGCATAAGAATTTTGCAATAATGGTACACATATTTACAAACTTGTGTTTACATTATATGCATTGGCAATTACCAATACATATACATACATATATACACATAATAAACACATATATGTGAACTTTAACACGCGTATGCAAATAAGTTCATTGATTTAATTTTTCAGTGTACAACTCTAAACACACAGTCACACACACACACCCACTTATATATAAATGTTTTTTTTGCACTTTTTATGTAAAAACACCTCATTTACTATGCACAACTACATATTTATAAACATAAAGCAAATAGTTAGTAGTTGCTGTTCGCAGTTTCATGGCTGATTGTCAAAATTTTTGCACACACACACAACTAAATCGTTAATTATTTATGACAACACTTTATGGCAGTTTTCTAATAATTTTATTTGTTTGTGTTAAACTAGTTTATTTTTGTTATTTTTTAGTATATTTTGTTGCTTGTTAGTGATGTTTTTTTTGATTTTTTGGTTTTTATTTTTGCTTTTTAGTTTATTTTTTTCGTTTTTAGTTTATAATCCTTTTTTATTTTTTGTTATTTGGTGCTTTGTTGTTGTCTCAGAATTCTGTCTGGCAATCTGGCATCTTGGGGCACACATCGCTCGCGGATGACTAAAAGTGTTGCAAGTGTGCTATTGCTGCTAGCCATTCATGCTGCCAAGCAACGTGTATACTGCCAATGCGTTCCTGTCACAATCGTGGTGTTCAACAACAATAGCAACAACAAGCCGGTACATAGCTATGCCCGAATACATATTTATATGTCAGCTAGTAGCATATTAAATATATATTATTTGTGAGGTATGTAAATACCTTTGCAGGTATCTTTGCTTTTATATTTGATTAATTGTTGCTCGATTTCAGGTGTGTAAGATTTTAAAAGTCACTTTACAGCAAACACATCATTATCATGGCCACCTTTGGTCGGCACTTAATTTTTTCTTAGTAGCTTAGCTTGCCATATTTTCATGTGTAAGTCACTTAATGCCAGCTGTCTAACTGTTGAACTGTTTATTTGACCAACTGACTATTTAGGCGACTGTCTATCATATACTCTGTCTAGTTATGAAATTGGCAAATATACCTTACTGCCGACTGGCCATGCAATATATGCGCTTTTTCTTCGAAATACATATATATAAGTATATATATATGTATATATATATATTATATACAAACACTTCTTATATGCATACATACATAAAACACCAACAAGTAACATTGTATGCAGCACCTAAAAGGGGTGGTAAAAGGGGTGCGCAACAACAGCTATGCAGCTAGAACATATATATTATATATACATATACATAAGCGTAAAAGCCGGCCGGTTAGCTGCCTGTTTATCTATTATGTACCTAAATGCTTCTATATATATACATATATGTATGTCTGCACATCATAAATAAAGCTATATATGTAGATATGTAATAAAAAACATAAGATGTGCAAAAGCATGTTGCTGTCATGTCTGGCTGGTTATGTGCCTCTTGCCTTATTGTTTTTGTTTTCGTGTTTGCTTGTGTGCCTGCTGCTGCTGCCGGTGCTGACTGTTGACTGCTTCGAGTTCGTTGGCTGTACCTATTTTTCGTTTGGCCAGGACCTACCTCAACAAAGTCGCATTTCCACAAGTATACACCGCACACACACACACACACACACGCACAAACAAATAAACTTTGTATGCGGCGTATGCTTTGCGCAAATACTACACATTTTTTGCTTTGTTACTTGCTTCCTTCCTTTGTGCCGCTGCTTCGTGCGCTGTCACTGTCACTGCTGTCAGCTGCGTGGC